GGGTACCCGCCCCCCCATTCCACAAAGGTCTGCAGTCTCTGGTCATCTCCTGTACCGTGTCCGCAGTCTCCGGTCATCCCCTGTACCGTGTCCGCAGTCTCCGGTCATCCCCTGTACTACGTCCGCAGTCTCCGGTCATCTCATGTACCGTGTCCGCAGTCTCTGGTCATCTCATGTACCGTGTCCGCAGTCTCTGGTCATCTCATGTACCGTGTCCGCAGTCTCTGGTCATCTCCTGTACTGTGTCTGCAGTCTCTGGTCATCTCCTGTACTCGGTCCGCAGTCTCTGGTCATCTCCTGTACTATGTCCGCAGTCTCTGGTCATCTCCTGTACTATGTCCGCAGTCTCTGGTCATCTCCTGTACTATGTCCGCAGTCTCTGGTCATCTCCTGTACTATGTCCGCAGTCTCTGGTCATCTCCTGTACTATGTCCGCAGTCTCTGGTCATCTCCTGTACTCGGTCCGCAGTCTCTGGTCATCTCCTGTACTATGTCTGCAGTCCATTGGTTCAGAATTTTTTTTTTCTTGTTCTACCCCTCGAAAACCTAGGTGCGTCTTATGGAGCGAAAAATACGGTGTTTGTGTGTGTGTACGTCTGTACATACACACACACACATATATATTATATGACAGACAGACATACACGCATAATATTTAAAGCATCATACCACATAATACAATTTTTGGACATACCAGAAAAAGTGGCTGGAAGGAAGGTCAACAGAAGGTGTTGCGGGTTCACTAGTCGAGCGTAGCACCTCCACTGGGGCCCCCGCTCCATTGGTTAAAGTTCTGCCATCATCTGTCTCTTCTGTTGGACAGGGACTCTAAAATAAAAACAAAAAAAACAGACTTACCAACAAGTATGTAAGGTAAATGCCTGCCTGTTTGGATACACAAAGACTGGACAGATTAGGCTGCTCATGTCACATAGTATTTGTACAATTCTCTTTAGATTTACTAAGACTGTATGGTGATCCTAGGACTATAAAAGATATGCAACTTAAAGCTGTATTCGTTTTTTGGGGTTTTTTTTTTTTTTTTTTAAGAGGATCTATAGTGGTTAGGATCAATTTCATTATTAATATTATATATAAATAGACCTTGTCACCTTGCAGGTATAAAGTTGTTGTTTTTTTTTTCCCATCTGTGTCCCAAGGGGTAAATTTCCCTTCACTTCCTGTCCCATACCCAAAACAGGAAGTGAGAGGAAATCCCTCCAAAGTGAGGGAATCCCAGAGTGTCACCAGAACTAGCATCTCCATTGAAAGATTCCCCCTCTATTAGTGTTCTGAAGCCAACCGTAAACATGGGATTTTCCTTTCACTTTCAATGATAACATAAATTGGACAAATAGAGAAGGTGAAACTCGGTTATAAGAACACAGACAGCAATAAAAACTGACAGGGGTTCTAATTCCTCCCCACCCTGTCCAAAACTAAAAAAAGAAAACCGTTTTGCCTTTAGTTACACTTTACCCACTTCAATACTGGGCACTTTCATCCTATTCATGCCCAGACCAATTTTGACAACTGCGCGGTCATGCAACACTGTACCCATATGAAATGTTTATCTTTTTCTAATGTTAATCTTAGTTCTAATGGCACGCCGCCCGCACTGAAAAACGCAACTCTACTGGGAACCGAGGATCCGGCGCGGGCTGCATTTTCAGAAGTGCAGGGACTTCTCCCCTGCGTGTCACGGGCCACAGGAGTCCATTCAAATGAATGGGCTCTTGTGCCGAGCAAAACGCGGACCGCACGGCCGCATAGGTGTGAACCGGGACTAAGAGCTGTTACCTCTATAATTACTGAACTGAAATGTCCCTCAAGGTATTTGTTAAGTGATCTGTCTGCTTTCTAACAAATCCCCTTTGACAGACAATGATCTGTCATTACATGGTGACAGCTCTGTGTCCTCCACGGTCACCTTGTGTAAACATGACAAGTGACACGGTACGAGGAACTCATGCAAATACATACATGCAAATTCCAACCTGTGCAGAACTCAATGTAACAGAATATGTTATACTTCGCACACAAACAAATAAAGTGCTGTAGAAGAATCCAAGCCTGCAGTGATAGGACACATGGATTCCAGCTATAGTATGAACCGGTTTTATGAGCATTGCTCTATAGCAGGGTGTCCAAACTATGGCCCTCCAGCTGTTGAAGTACTACAAGTCCCACCATGCCTCTGCCTCTGGGAGTCTTGCCTGTGGATGTCAGAGACTTGCAAGGCCTCATGGGACTTGTAGTTCAACTCCTGGAGTGCCGTAGTTTGGACACCACATGCTCTATAGGAACATTACCTGTCACATTCTGCTGCATTTAAATACTAAAAAAAAGGCCAAGGCTAAAAAAAAAAAAAAAGAAGCAAGCAATGCTCCAGATATTGAACTATCAGGCCCTTAAAGCAGATCTAAACCTCAACACTAAAATCTCAAACAATCTTTAACATCTTAATGTGAAATTCCAGCCTAACACTAGCAAGGTTTAAAAAATGCCCCCTGCCTCCTCCTGCTACCTATATTTTCTACCTTGTGTAAATAAAATGTATATATATATATATATATATATATATATATATATATATATATATATATATATATATATATATATATATATATATATATATATATACACATCTTACCTATTGTCAGCCCACTCTGGACCATTAACATGATCCCGTGTCAGTGAGTGGCAGCTGCAGGGGAGAAGAGAGGGCACATGACAATGGCTGGGAATTCTAGGAGTGGAGACGTCACCCATAGGCTGCAATGTCCCAGCTGTTGCCGGGCACTCTCTCCTCTCTCCCCTGCAGCCACCAGTGGATGACACAGAAAAATCAGCACTCCCTCCTCTCCCCTGCAGCCACCAGTGGATGACACAGAAGAGCAGCACTCCCCCTCTCCCCTTGCAGCTACCAGTGGCTGAAAAAGAAGATAAGCACTCCCTCCTCTCCCCTTGCAGCTACCAGTGGATGACACTGAACATCAGCACTCCCTCCTCTCCCCTGCTGCCACCAGTGGAGGACAAAGAAGATCAGCACACCCTCCTCTCCCTTTGCAGCTACAAGTGGCTGAAAAAGAAGATCAGCACTCCCTCCTCTCCCCTGCAGCCACCAGTGGAGGACAAAGAAGATCAGCACTCCCTCCTCTCCTCTGCAGCCACCAGTGGAGGACAAAGAAGATCAGCACTCCATCCTCTCCCCTTGCAGCTACAAGTGGCTGACAAAGATCAGCACTCCATCCTCTCCCCTGCAGCTACCAGTGGCTGTCACAGAGGATCAGCACTCCCTCCTCTCCCCTGCAGCCACCAGTGGCTGACCAAGAAGATCAGCACTCCCTCCTCTCCCCTGCAGCCACCAGTGGATGACACAAGATCAGCACTTCCTCCTCTCCCCTGCAGCCACCAGTGGATGACACAAGAGCAGCACTCCCTCCTCTCCCCTGCAGCCACCAGTGGCTGACACAGAAGAGCAGCACTCCCTCCTCTCCCCTTGCAGCTACCAGTGGATGACACAGCATACACACAGTTGTTTTTGTACACAGATTAGAAAGCATAGTTAGCGGGAGGTGGGGGGGGGGGCGGGTGTTGGCTTAGCATTTTTAAACATACTTCGTGTTAGGCAGGAATTTTACTCTAAAGTAGAACCTTTACCTATAAAAACAATAATGTTCTTTAGCAAGGAACATACATCCACATTAATAGTTGTGCCATCAAAATGAATGTGTGCTGTAAATTGCCTCCAGCATTTTTCCTATTTCTTATTGCTGGAGGCGGCCATTTTGCTGAAGCCCAGAACCCCTGAGCAGTAGTAAATCTTGAAGCCATCAGCAAATCGGCCTCTACACCACAGGTGTCAAACTGGCGGCCCTCCAGCTGTTGCCAAACTACAATTCCCATGAGGCACTGCAAGACTGGCAGTTACAAGCATGACTCCCAAAGGCAGAGGCATGATGGGACTTGTAGTTTCACGACAAAGAACCAGCAAACACAAATGCTCCTGCGCTTGGGGATGGACTCGATGCTACAACCACATTAAGAATGTCCTGGAACATGCACACCTTGCTGCCCTCAAACGGACCGGGGAAATCCAAATATACTGAATGAGGAAAGACAAAACAGAGGGCGCACAGGCCTAGGGCATGACCATAAAAAATGTTTAATAAAAAAAAAGCACTTATTCCTAATGTTTTTCTAAAGTTCCACTTCAATGTTTTTTTAAAAACAGTTTTGAATCTTTCAAAATCTACAGTTTTCATTCAAAAATCCCCGGTGATACTGATGTGAAGGCTATTGTTGTAGCACCTCCGTTAATTGGGTGACAACCATCTCCCAATTGTACTTTTGCACTGTCACCCTGAAACACGCCTCATGGTGGAGACCGCAAGTGACCGTGCCAACACATTACTCAGCAGACCCGATCCTTCCCTCTGTTACAAATATCAAGAAAGGAGCAAAGTGCCCCAAAGATCCCTGCTGGTTCCGGCTCTCAGGCAGTTTGTGCAACATTAAGCGACTAGCCGCTTCTACGGTCAAGCAATTCTAGCATTACCTGTAAGGTGCTGGCAGAGTTGGCAGCCTCTCGTTGACCATTCTGATGTAAGGGGATGGAGTCCAAAGTCTCTGAAGTGGATGATTGTCTCACGGGCTCCTCTGTAAATAAAAAAGCACAATTCAGCCTTTAGGGGAATAAGGAAAAAATATGGACCCCTTGCGCCTAACCTGTGGCCCTTGGACCTCAGAAGTCTGTGAAATGTGAACCGCCGCGTCCCCCAATTTATAGACAGCCACTAGAGGGGGAAAGAACCACGTAAAGTAGTACAGAAAGGACGTGACCTACCTCTGTCACAGGAGAAAGGAGCAGGATGTCCGTCACGGTCACGCTGGAGAACCTGCTCCATGAATGTTTGGTGGTCCTGCTCATAGAGAGGGATCTCCTGATCATTGATGTCACTCTGCAGACAGCTGTGAAACAGGCTAAGCAGCAGATCATTGGGCAGAGACAAGTCCGGTAACGCATTGTCACTCTCAGCTGTAGGGGAGACAAATGTAACAAGAATCTATCAGGTACTCGGAGATGTTGCTGTACTGTCCTCAGCTCCTCAACTATAACCATGTACACTTGGGCAACCTGTGCATGAAAGTATATGGAAAGGTGCAGGGATGCACCGATACCCTTTTTTGCTGGGCGAATACAAGTACCAATACTTTCAGTCAAGTGCTTGCCGATACCGAGTGCAAAATGCATGGACGCAAATTGCACCGCAAAGCATAGCATGCGATTTGAAAAGGAATGCAATTCCTGTCCAAATCGCATGCAGTTTCCCCACTGCTCCTGTGTGATCTCAGGCTTGTCATGTCACAGTTCACACAGGAGTGGTGCGGGAAACCTCCCTGCGTGGATACCATGCTGTCACAGAAGGAAGAGCTGAAATCCCTGCTGCTTTCTCTGCTCTCAGTGCAGGGATAACAGGATGTGCTAGACAGCTTTTGATTAGTTAGCACTGTTCTGGTGCTGACCAATCAGAAGACATCTAGTCCATACTGTCATCCCTGCAAAGAGAGGAAAGAAAGCCGCTTCACAGGTCTAAGGATCAAAAATCCTGCTTTTGAGGGATGGTGCCTGCCTTCAAATTCAAGAGAGCCCTCCTTTCAGGTCAACTTTAAAAAAGAAAATGCGTACACCAATAAATTTACACCAGCTAAGGTTTCCTTGTATGTGTGGGTGGTCTTTCCACAAATCTGGTGAAATATAAGTGATCCTGTGAGTTAAAACAATGATGCCCCACATTACCCCGGCTCAGCGTCAGGAAGAACAGTTCAATTTGTTGGCATTTGGGTAGCAACTTCATCAGATCAAAGTGGAACGGCACCTCCCGAATGCACAGGCCGCTGCCACTCTCCCCCGATTCTAGAAGTAATGAAGAAAAGATGATTACATTGCAGTAAGGAATCTGTCAAGAACTTAATTTCTCACTTTTAATAAAAAATTTAAAAAGGTGTAAGAAAAAAAAAAAAAAAAAAGTGTGCACACACACACACACACACACACACACACACACACCCCCCCCCCCCCCCCCCTTTGAAAAGAAAGATTTTATCCAGTATCTCAAGAATTTCCGCTGTGATGGGCCTAGCCAATCGGAAGCAGAAGTTGTCCTCTCCTCTCCCTCCCTCCCTCCCTGTAGTCTTCTGTGACACGTCTCAGAAGACTACGGGGCCATTCAAAAATAGCAGCGCTTCACGCGCGTGCGCAGTGCACACCCGTCTATGAAGCCGCAAGCTGTCACAGCCGGGTGCCCGCACGGACGATGCCAGTGTCAGGGAGAGAAGACGGCCGGTGAAACCAGCCCTGGTGAGGACACCACTGGACCGAGGGACAGGTAAGTGTCTGTATTTTAAGAGTCAGCAGCTACAGTTTTTGTAGCTGCTATTTATTTTTCAGGTGGAACTCCGCTTTAAGTGATGTTTGGATTTACATAGCTGGATGTTATTCAGCCCCTAGAGGGAACATATGGCTGGAGTCTTAGATTTATTAATACAATGGAGACGTGTCGCTAGTGACGTTTATTTCTGTTCTTGAAGACCGTTAAGCTTTAAGATTTTGATATTAAAAAGGTAAGGCCTTCATAAGGGAAGGTAGTTTTATATCACCATCAGTATTTCTTTGATCTATATGGGGATCATATTAGTCTCACCCAACTATTGTATAGTAGGCCCTGGAAAGGGTTGTTGAAACTGCACTGTTCCATGATTGAGTTCCCCCCACCCCCCCCACAGGCCCGGCAGGAGTTTGTCAGACACACACATTGTCGCACATGTGAATACAAGGTAACATACAGTGGGGATCGAAAGTTTGGGCACCCCAGCTAAAAATTTGTATTAATGTGCATAAAGAAGCCAAGGAAAGATGGAAAAATCTCCAAAAGGCATCAAATTACAGATTAGACATTCTTATAATATGTCAACAAAAGTTAGATTTTATTTCCATCATTTACACTTTCAAAATAACAGAAAACAAAAAAAAAAATGGCGTCTGCAAAAGTTTGGGCACCCTGCAGAGTTAATATCTTGTACTGCCCCCCTTTGGCAAGTATCACAGCTTGTAAACGCTTTTTGTAGCCAGCCAAGAGTCTTTCAATTCCTGTTTGAGGTATCTTTGCCCATTCTTCCTTACAAAAGTCTTCCAGTTCTTTGAGATTTCTGGGCTGTCTGTCACGCACGGCTCTTTTAAGGTCTATCCATAGATTTTCAATGATGTTGAGGTCAGGAGATTGTGAAGGCCATGGCAAAACCTTCAGTTTACGTCTCTTGATGTAATCCCCCGTGGATTTCGAGGTGTGATTAGGATCATTATCCATTTGTAGAAGCCATCCTCTCTTTAACTTCAGCTTTTTCACAGATGGCATCAAGTTACCATCCAAAATTTGCTGAAATTTTATTGATTCCATTTTTCCTTCTACTTGTGAGATGTTCCCTGTGCCACTGGCTGCAACACAACCCCAAAGCATGATTGATCCAACCCCATGCTTAACAGTTGGACAGAGGTTCTTTTCATTCAATTCTGTGCCCCTTCTTCTCCAAACGTACCTTTGCTCATTCCGGCCAAAAAGTTCAATTTTAACCTCATCGGTCCACAGAACTTGTTTCCAAAATGCATCCGGCTTGTCTATATGTTCATTTGCAGAGTTCAAACGATGATTTTTGTGGTGAGGACGTAGAAGAGGTTTTCTTCTGATGACTCTTCCATGAAGACCATATTTGTACAAGTATCTCTTTATAGTGGAATAGTGTACCACAACTCCAGTGTCTGACAGATCTTTCTGGAGGGATCGTGCAGTCAAACGTGGGTTTTGAACTGTATTTCTCACAATCCTGCGAGCTGTTCTGTCTGATATTTTTCTTGGTCTTCCAGATCTTGCTTTAACTTCCACTGTTCCTGATGACTGCCATTTCTTAATTACATTCCGAACAGAGGATATTGACATCTGAAAACGCTTTGCTATCTTCTTCTAGCCTTCTCCAGCTTTGTGAGCGTCAACTATTTTCAGTTTCAGTTTTCTAGACAACTGCTTAGAAGAACCCATGGTGCTGATTGTTGGGGCAAGGTCAGATGAGTCTGGACATTTAAAACCTTTGAGATTGACATCACCTGGTCTTCCCAGACGATGATTGAGAACAATCCATGACACTGGCAGGTCTCAGCGTTGCAAAGGGGGCAGTGCAGGCTATAAATTCTGCAGGGTGCCCAAACTTTTGCAGACGCCATTTTTTTGGTTTTCTGTTATTTTGAAAGTGTAAATGATGGAAATAAAATCTAACTTTTGTTGACATATTATAAGAATGTCTAATCTGTAATTTGAAGCCTTTTGGAGATTTTTCCATCTTTCCTTGGCTTCTTTATGCACATTAATACAAATTTTTAGCTGGGGTGCCCAAACTTTCGATCCCCACTGTACATATTTGTATATTATTATAGATTTTTTTTTTTTCACCTACCTTTCCGAGTTTGCTTTACGGTTCAGAGTTGGTAATATCAAATTGATGTTAATTAGAATAACTATGTCCACGTTTTAAAATTGTTATTATTATATCATGTTTATTATATAATCTCACCAACTAAAAACATTCTGTCCCAGTTTGTTTATAACAAGATCCAAGGCCCTGAGGAAGAGGTTCTCCCGCGAAATGCGCCGGCCGTTTCAAAATTAGGATCTCATGTACAGATATATGGTTATATTTCAAGCGAAACGATTTATTTTAAAAGCCTTTTATAATATATATGTACATGGTAACAATAAAACACTTTATTCATTGATATTCTCTTTGGTACTATACCTGTAGATTTACAGTCCCAAATCATGAATACCACGGTCATATGCCAAATATAGGAATGGTACCTCCCAGAAGGAATATTAACCCCAGACTTGCCCACCACATATGCTCTTTGACTTTATTCATTAAAGTTCATGTGCGTGTAAAGGCAGGTGTCCCAATACTTTTGGCAATATAATATATTTTATATATATCTATCTAGCTCTCTCACAGAAGTGAGTACATCCCTCACATTTACTGTGAAACACTGAAGCAGGGCATGATCCTCTCCCTTCGGAGACTGGGCCGCAGGGCAGTATTCCAACATAATGACCCCAAAGACACCTCCAAGACCACCACTGCCTTGCTAAAGAAGATGAGGGTAAAGGTGATGGAGTGGCCAAGCATGTCTCCAGACCTGAATCCTATTGAGCATCTGTGGGGCCTCCTCAAATGGAAGGTGGAGGAGCGCAAGGTCTCTAACATCCACCAGCTCCAGGATGTTGTCATGGAGGAGTGGAAGAGGACTCCAGTGGCAACCTGTGAAGCTCTGGTGACCTCCATGCCCAAGTGGGTTAAGGCAGTGCTGGAAAATAATGGCGGCCACACAAAATATTGACACTTTGGGCCCAATTTAGACCTTGTCACTTAGGGGTGGACTCACTTTTGTTGGCAGCGGTTTAGACATTAATGGCGGTGTGTGGAGTTACTTTGAGGGGACAGCAAATTTCCATGTTATACAAGCTGTACACTGACTACGTCACATTGTAGCAATGTGTCATTTCTACAGTGTTGTCACATGAAAAGATAGAATCAAATGTTTACAAAAATGTGAGGGGGGGGACTCACTTCTGGGAGGAGAGAGAGAGAGAGAGAGAGAGAGAGAGAGAGAGAGAGAGAGAGAGAGAGAGAGAGAGAGAGAGAGAGAGAGAGAGAGAGATAGAGAGAGAGAGAGAGAGAGAGAGAGAGAGAGAGAGAGAGAGAGAGAGAGCAGAGAGAGAGAGAGAGAGAGAGAGAGAGGGGGGGGTGTGAATGAATACAGTCCGTGAGATACCGTATATGTATATATATATATTAAAGATCTTGCAGAACACTGCTGACTCAGTAGCGATACAAATTATTGGATGGCCTGCTCTGCTGTAAATTAGGTTTAGGGAGCGCAAATTACTTGCCTTGTCCCGAGCACGGACAATCCCCCACTACGCTAAAAAAAAAAAACAAAAAAAAAAAAAAAAAAAAAAAACTAGCTCCCACCTTTTATAGCTGGATGCTAGATTGAAAGCAAAAATGTGTCAAGCCCTGTTTTATGGAATTTGCATCAAAGTGATTTTGATCTGCCCACCTGTGCGCTCCGCTTTAGTCAGGATTGGAGATCCGCCATCTTTGTTCTGGCAGAGCTGTACGATGTACTCAAATGTTAACATGATGTTGATGCAGCTCTGATCTCTGGGAAACAACTGCAAGAAAGAAAGTTTGTCAAAGTCTGCAACAGGCAGACATCCTTTGTCATGGAGTGCAGTTCTATATTGTATATGGCATGGCTGAAAGGTTACCACACCAATAGCTGAGTCAGTCTCACATAGTTACAGGGAAATTGCCATTTCAATACCTTTTTTTTTTTTAACCACTTCACTTCCTGTCCAGACACTTCCCCCCCCCCCCCCCCCCCCCCCCCCCCCTTCCAGTCCGGACACTTTCCCCCCCCCCCCCCCCCTTCCAGTCCGGACACTTTCCCCCCCCCCCCCCCCCCCCCCCCTCCTGTCCAGGCCAATTTTCAGCTTTCAGCGCTATCACACTTTCAATGACAATTGCGCGGTCATGCAACACTGTATCCATATGAATTTTTTTTTTTGAGACAGAAAACTTTATTTTGGTGGTATTTATTCACCGTTGGGATTTTTATTTTTTATGTAAATGAAAAACTCCAAAAATTTTGAAGAAAAGTGCTTTTCTTATAAAATTTTGGAAATAATCTTTCATCATAAATCTTGGCCAAAATGTATTCCGTTATCTTTTTAGTAAAAAAAAAAAAAAAAAATAAGCCAAATTAGTTTATAACCAAACATTTTGTTTACATTTTTTTTTTATATTAGGTTTGTTTTTTTTTGTTACATACTGTCACCCTAGCACGGGTGTCGGCAACCCGCGGCTCCAGAGCCGCATGCGGCTCTTTTTCACCTTTGCTGCTGCTCTTCTGTGTGCCGGGCGCCCGCTCCCCTCCCTCCTCTCGGGCGGCCGCCCCAAAGTCAGGACTCTGCAGCTAGCCCAGCAATTATCAAACTACGGCCCGGCGGACCTTTTAATCCGGCCCGTGGAGCGTGGCAAACATTGGCTGTCAGGATGTAGGCGGGGCAGCGTGACGAACTCCTCTCCTCTCACAGTCCGCCCTGAAGACCGGAACGGCGCGGGAACACGGCGAGAGGAACGCGCGGAGCAAAGGTAAGTGAATTGACACAATATGGGGGAATGAATTACTATAGGGGGGATGAATTACTATGTGGGGGGTGAATTACTATGTGGGGGGTGAATTACTATGTGGGGGATGAATTACTATATGGGGGATGAAATTACTATATGGGGGATGAATTACTGTATGGGGGATGAATTACTATATGGGGGATGAATTACTATATGGGGGATGAATTACTATATGGGGGATGAATTACTATATGGGGGATGAATTACTATGGGGGATGAATTACTATATGGGGGATGAATTACTATATGGGGGGATGAATTACTATATGGGGGATGTATTTTCAGTTTTAAAAAATGTTTCTCTCAAAATAAATTTCAATCGTGGTTTTGGCGAGATTTGGCTCAGTTGAAAAAAAAAGGTTGCCCACCACTGACCTAAGGCTATGATTGTGATTATGACGATACACTGTGGCCCTGATTAACCCTTTGCTTACTGGGCCCTTAAACCCCCTTCATGACCAGAGCGCTTTTCGCAATATATGCAGTGTCTGATTTGTTTTAAATGTTGCAATGGTTTTGCGGCTCCCAGTCTTTTTTTCCCTCTCGGAAAAACGGGTCCAAGTGGCTCTTTATGTCTTAAAGGTTGCAGACCCCTGCCCTAGCAGTACAGTGTCACCATGGTGACACTGTACTACTTGTAGGGGGTGATGAAGATCATTTTTTTTTTTTCTACAGTGATTGCTTTTACACCCATATAGGATGTAAAAGCAATCATTTCTCTTTCTCTCTGGCTGCATTCTTGCAGCCACTGAGAAATACTGAGTGAGCTGTGATTGGTCACAGATTGTCACATGGTACAAGGCAGTTGTGAATGGCCCTCTACCATGTGACCTCTGTGATCATTCACAGATTTCATACGTACTAAGCAATGATGTCACAAGTGACATCTTGCTTACTACTTTGCATGTGATCACTGACTGGCCAATCAGTGATCACATGATCTGGATCCCGTCCGACGATCGGTGTTTCACTGTGTCCGGAGGAGACAGCGGGCACCGGATTGTGGTGCTGTGCACTAGAAATGGCGGGTGCCGTTTATGAACGGCAACCCGCCCCCTGGAGTGCCACCGTCCTGCCGTTTATAAACAGCAGGCGGACGGCAAGTGGTTAACCTGCGGTCATTAAGTAGGCAGCACAGTGGCGTAAGTGGTTACCACTTCTGTCTAGCAGCACCAGGGTCGTCTGTTTGAATCCCAAACACGGCACTACCTGCCTGGAGTTTGCATGTTCTCTATGCTTACATGGATTTCCTCCGGTTTCCTCCCACACTCCAAAGACATGCTGGTAGGTTAACCGGCTCCTATCTAAATTGGCCCTAGTATGTGTATGTTAGGGACATTAGATTGTAAGCTCCTTGAGGGCCTAGGCGATCGGAAGCAGAAGTTGTCGTCCCTTGCCTCTCTCCCCCTTAGTCTTCTTAGACACGTGACAGGTCCCAGAAGAGTACGGGGCCATTCACAAAGCACACAGCTTCTTGCACATGCGCAGTGGGCACCCCAAGCGGTCACAGTCGGGTGCCCACACTGATGATGCCGACGCCCAGGGAGAGAAAATGGCCGGTGAAACCAGCGGTTGTGAGGATGTCGCAGGACCGAGGGACAGGTGTCTGTATTTTGAAAGTCAGCAGCTACAGGCACACAAGTATAAAAATGTATAAAACATAAAATCTGACATTAGTCTGACAGACCAGGAATGAGGTGTGGAGGGGCTACACAGAGAGCACATTTATTGAAGAGATTGTAAGCTCCCAGGATCAGGGCCCTCCTATCCCTCTTGTATTGAACTGTATTGTTGCTGTATTGTCTCCCGTTATATTGTAAAGCGCTGAGCAAACTGTTGGCGCCATAAATCCTGTATAATAATAATAATATATAAATCCTGTATAATAATAATATATAAATCCAGTATAATAATAATATAATAATAATAATATATAAATCCTGTATAATAATAATAATAATAAAAATAAATAATAATAATAATAAAATCCTGTATAATAATAATAATATATAAATCCTGTATAATAATATATAAATCCTGTATAATAATAAAAAAATATATAAATCCTGTATAATAATAATAATAATAATAATAATAATAATAAATAATAATATATAAATCCTGTATAATATATAAATCCTGTATAATAATAATAATAATAATAAATAATATATAAATCCTGTATAATAATAATATATAAATCCTGTATAATAATAATAATAATAATAATAATAATAAATCCTGTATAATAATAATAATAATAATAATATATAAATCCTGTATAATAATAATAATAATAATAATAAATCCTGTATAATAATAATAATAATAATAATAATAATAATAATATATAAATCCTGTATAATAATAATAATAATAATAATAATAATAATAAATCCTGTATAATAATAATAATATAAATCCTGAATAATAATAATAATAATAATAATAATAAATCCTGTATAATAATAATAATAATAATAATAATAATAATAATAAATCCTGTTATAATAATAATATTTGAAGAGATAAGTCCAACTGAGCAGTAGAGAATAGGACCAGACTAGAAAGGAAGAAGAGAAAGAGACAGACGATGCCTCAAATAGGTACTGTTAAAGCCGAACTGCAGACAAAATCTGGATCCCTGGTACCTATGCAACTGTTATTATTATTATTATTATACAGGATTTATGGCACCAACAGTTTGCTCAGCGCTTTACAGTATATGGGAGACAATACAGCAACAATACAGTTCAATACAAGAGGGATAGCTCTTGGATGTATTCAGAAATGTCTGACACAGATCAGACCCTGCTGCAGCCTGTCACCTACACAGTTGCAGCACTGCAGTCTGATCACTGGGAGGAGGGGAGACTGAGGAAACGCTTCCTCCTGCCTGCAGCAGACTGATGACAATATATCAACCTACTCAAAAGGCACTGACTGAAGTTCAGGGATGACTTATTAATGGTAGAAGGTAGAACTTCCTTGGAATATACTGTTGCCGTATAGTATGCAATTAGAGATAAAAGTAGCCAAGTATTGCTTTGTTCATACATGAGGCAGGGCTATACCAGCCCAGATTATTTCCAGGTACTCACGGCTTGTGGGATCTCGGAGTACATAAGGCCATGCAGGTGCTTCCAGCTCTCAGAGGTGCCCATAACGACCCCCGCTCTGCGGCTCCACCCAACACTCGGAGACTAGGTGCAGCTCCGTGTCCTGTTCTATGGCTTCCACCTCTGTGTCATTATCCTCATCTGTGGAGAAGCTGAGTAGCCGCAGATATATCAATTGGTCAAAAAATAAAAAAACCAAACGCTGGGGCAAACGTGTATGTACAAAACACAGGCATAACAAACAGTAACCCACCTGTCCTTGGTGGAGGTGACATGAGGAGGAAAGAGGATGTACTGGATAATACAGCTGTGCTTCTCTATACTGTCCTCTCCTAGACAATCGCTCTGCAGAGGAGACAGGAGTGCAGGGTCAGCGCACAGCCATCCATGGAGCATGTGACAGGCAGGACGTAATGGACTCACCTGAATGGGGACCTCTAGGACCATGTTAATAATTCCTTCTCCGCTGGAGGCAAAATGGAACCCTTCAGATAGCCGTATCCTGCAGTGACAAGTACAACATGTCAGTTTATAAAAAACGGGGGATCTTGCAGGATCTGGACATCACGAAGCCATGATGAGTCTTGGCACACTTACAAAGGATGTGCTATTACCGGATTTCCGCCTTGTGAATGGTTGATTGTGGTGGCTCCTTGCAGCCATTTAAGGTGGACTAGTACCAGTTTGGCAATCTATTTTCCTGGTGTCCCTGTATGCTGAGATGGTCCGCTTTGTGAGGTCTGGAGTGCCTTTCCTGTGTGCTGCGTGTGTACCAGGGGAGCCCCCTGTCCTTGACCAGAACCCCGATGACCACCAGTGTTTCCCGGACACAATTACATGCGCATTAATATTGCGCTTCCGGTGAGTGCAAGCACACTTCAATTCTAGATCACAAGAAGTCACGAGCGCGGAAGTTTGATACATCATCTTTTTTGGACTACTTATTTTTAAAGATATCTTAGATTGTCATCTAATTTATTGCGCTATATTTTCCATTATTATTAATAAATCATTAACCACATTTCCAGACACCTATCACAACCCCCTGATGAAGCCACGTGACTGGTGGCGTAACGCGTAGAGGAGGGGCTACGTCATCACTCGGGAGGAGCCGAACTACACGATAGACGGCAGGTGTATGACTCAGAGGCCAGCAGAGGATTCTTAATGCGATATTGCGATAGTCAAACCTGTGCAATGTGAGTTTAATGCTTGGATGGTGGGAATAAAAAGTTTTTAAAAGGTAAAGCACTATGTCTTCAATTTCTTCTTGCATGCGGAGAAACATAAGGAGAGGATAATTAGGAGGTCTGGGATAACAAAAAGGAGTGAGCAATCCCTGAGGGGATAATCAGCCATCAGAGGATATATCTATTACTCCTAAAGGAAGGATCTCCCTATTCAACCAGCAAGAGCCTATATCTAGCAGGTTCCAGGGGAAGTGAACCGAAAGTGTGTATAGCCTGATTGTAGACATTAAAGGAGGTGAGCGCACATCTTCACTATTTGAAGGATTCACAAAAGTCACTAATTGAAGGACAACAAGCACCAAGTCACTATATATTTTTTTCAATCGATGGGACTATTGATTTGATGATATTTGGATTTATATTAGTCACTAATTAATGATTTATGAGCATTTGGTCACTTTTATTTATGGGGGATTATTTAAATGTGATTAAGTTGATGGTTATAAGTTGGTTTAAATTTTTTAATTACCGTATTTGCCGGCGTATAAGACGACTTTTTACCCCTTAAAAATCTTCTCAAAAGTCGGGGGTCGTCTTATACGCCGGTATAAACATGACATGACACTTTTTAGGGGGGCGGCGCGGTGCCGCCGCCGCCCCCCCCTTCCCCTAACGGAAGGGACACTAAGTACAGGGGTGGGCAGGGGCTATTTCTTACCTGGTTCGGTCCCACGACGATCCGGTCCAGGAAGCGCGGCTGCGCCTTCAGTTCGGCCACTGGAGTTCGCGCGGCTGCTCGGCTCCGCCTCCTCACCAGCGATTGGCCGCCAGAACTGTAGCTCAGGAAAGGCACACAGGCGGCCAATCACCGGCGAGAGGGTGGAGCCGAGCGGTCCGCGCGAAAATCGAGTGCAGGACCAGCAGGTAAGTGGTCAGTGTAGAGGTGCTGCTGCAACCACATATGCTGGCTGCAGCAGCACCATACGAGAACAGAGTCAGCAAGTGTCAGTGGGAGGAATAGTGCCCCATCATTGGTGTCACTGACACCAATGATGGGGCACTATTCCTCCCACTGATACCAATGATGGGGCACTATTCCTCCCACTGATACCAATGATGGGGCACTATTCCTCCCGCTGATACCTATGATGGGGCACTATTCCTCCCACTGACACCAACGATGGGGCACTATTCCTCCCCCCCACTGACACCAACGATGGGGCACTATTCCCCCCCCCACTGACACCAACGATGGGGCACTATTCCACCCCCCACTGACACCAATGATGGGGCACTATTCCACCCCCACTGACACCAATGATGGGGCACTATTCCTCCCCCCCACTGACACCAACGATGGGGCACTATTCCCCCCCCCCCCCCACTGACACCAACGATCGGGCACTATTCCACCCCCCACTGACACCAATGATGGGACACCATTCCTCCCACTGACACCAATGTTGGGACACTATTCCTCCTACTGACACCAATGATGGGGCACCATTCCCCCCACTGATACTAATGATGGGACACTATTCCCCCCACTGATACCGATGATGGGGCACTATTCCTCCCACTGGTGTGCACTGGAAGAGGGGTAGTCTTATACGGCGAGTATAGCCCAAACACTACATTTTAGCAGGAAAAGTAGGGGGGTCGTCTTATACGCCCAGTCGTCTTATACGCCGGCAAATACGGTAAATTAATTGTGGGTATTATGAATTTAAATGAAATTGAGGGTATTAGTAAGTATAATATGTCACTAATTGATGATTAACGAGCACCTGATCACCTACTATTTTTAGAGGAGTATTTAATGTGCAATTAATTTGAAATTGATTTGAAGGTGATAAATTGGTTTTAAAATTATTTAATTATTTTATTTGGCATTTATACACTTTTATTAGTTGTTTGCATTATGAATTTGAATTAATTTAATGGCATTAATCTAAATTATTATTTATTAGTAATTGAGAAATATTCAGGAGCGCAACATATATTTGTAAATATATTTATACACAGTTGTAGTTATGTGTTTCATGTTTGCGATCCTCTAGAAATTGTCACACCTTTGGCTCGCAAGTTATTCCAATTTATAAATACCTGCATAGAAGGAGCTGTCCCTGTATGTGGAGAGGGTCCGCTTTGTGAGGTCTGGAGTGCCTTTCCTGTGTGCTGCGTGTGTACCAGGGGAGCCCCCAGTCCTTGACCAGAACTCCGATGACCACCAGTGTTTCCCGGATACAATTACATGCGCATTAATATTGCGCTTCCGGTGAGTGCAAGCACACTTCAATTCTAAATCACAAGAAGTCACGAGCGCGGAAGTTTGATACATCATCTTTTTTGGACTACTTATTTTTACCCCCTTCCTGTCCAGGGCAATTTTCAGCTTTCAGCGCTATCACACTTTGAATGACAATTGCGCGGCGGTCATGCAATACTGTACCCATATGACTTTTTTACCATTTTTTTGAGACAGATAAAGCTTTATTTTGGTGGTATTTATTCACCGCTGGGATTTTTATTTTTTTTACTATGTAAATGAAAAAGTCCAAAAATTTTGAAAAAAAGTGTTTTTTTTTATAAAATTTTGCAAATAAATAATATTTCATCCTAAATCTTGGCCAAAATTTATTCCGTTATTTTTTTAATAAAAAAAAAAAATCCAAATTAGTTTATAAACCAAACATTATAATTTTTAAACATTTTTTTTTACATTTTTATTTTATTTTTTTTTATATTTATTTTTTATTTTTATTTTTTATTTTTACATACTGTCACCCTAGCAGTACAGTGTCACCATGGTGACACTGTACTACTTGTGGGGGGTGATGAAGATTTTTTTTTTTTTTTTTTTACACTGATTGCTTTTACACCCATATAGGATGTAAAAAGCAATCATTTCTCTTTCTCTCTGTCTGCATTCTTGCAGTCATTGAGAAATACTGAGTGAGCTGTGATTGGTCACAGCTTGTCACATGGTACAAGGCTGTTGTGAATAGCCTTGTACCATGTGACCTCTGTGATCATTCACAGATTTCACACGTAGTAAGCAATGATGTCACAAGTGACATCTTGCTTACTACTTTGCATGTGATCACTGATTCGCCAATCAGTGATCACATGACCGGGACCTCGTACAGAGGTCCCGTCCGACGATCGGTGTTTCACTGTGTCCGGAGGACACAGCGGACACCGGATCGCGGTGGTGCGCGCTCCTAGGGAGCGCGCACAGCTAGAAAAGGCGGGTGCCGTTTAGGAACGGCAACCCGACCTTGGACTGCCACCGCCCTGCCGTTTATAAACAGCAGGCGGACGGCAAGAGGTTAAAGATATCTTAGATTGTCATCTAATTTGATGCGATATATTTTCCATTATTATTATTAATAGGTCATTAACCACATTTCCAGACACTTTTACCCCCTTCCTGTCCAGGCCAATTTTCAGCGCTATCACACTTTGAATGACAATTGTGTGGTCATGCAACACTGTACCCATATGAATTTTTTAGCTTTTTTTTTTTTTTTTTTTTTTTTTTTTTTTTTTTTTTTAGACAGATAAAGCTTTATTTTGGGGGTATTTTTAAATTTTTTTTTGCTATATAAATGAAAAAGTCCAAAAATTTTGAAAAAAAAGTGATTTTCTTATAAAATTTTGCAAATAAATAATATTTCATCATAAATCTTGGCCAAAATATATTCAGTTATCTTTTTAGAAAAAAAAAAAAAAAAAAAAAATAACCCAAATTAGTTTAGAACCAAAAACTGTAATTTTTTTAAAAAAATGTTTACATTTATTTTATATTATTTATGGGGGGTTTTTCTACATACTGTCACGCTAGCAGTACAGTGTCACCATGGTGACACTGTACTACTTGCGGGGGGTGATGAAGATTTTTTTTTTTTTTTTTACACTGATTGCTTTTACACTCCTAAAGGCTGTAAAAACAATCATTTCTC